TTATACTAATACAGATGGAAACAATTGATAGATATATTCTAGAAAATTAAAGAAAAAAGTATAGTATACGGCATTAATTCCGATAAAAATATACCAATGAAATAATTTTGTTAGCATATTTTTATTAGGGAAAAAAATTCTGGGAAAAAAATTCTGGCACATATTTTTTATTTGTCAACCTATTAGTTTTTAATTTTTTTTAACAATAAAATTAGGGATACATAATGAAATTACAAACGAATGGTATTAACAGACGCATTATGTATTATGTTGGTGAAGTAGTTAGTAAAATTTCACCAACAAAGCGGTAATCTCCCGCTTACGGAAAAGTTTTGTGGGTAAAAATATTAAATGTTGCAGTGAACATGCCCTTCAATTCTAGGCCTATTCTGGAGTAGATTTGTATGAATCTGCTGCTTATGTAGTTCGGAGAAGGAGAGGAAACATAAGATCAATCATGAATCTATTTTATAGTAGTTGTCTTGTTCATTGCAGGTGTTCTCTTTGCTAGCCAACAAATTAACTACATGAGCCTAGATTCCGACCCTCTCTCGCCCCATTTTTAAAATCTTTCAAGGCCCATATAGAGTGAGATAATTCTATCATAGAAGTAAGGTTTGCTTGCAAATTTCATCTAAATGGATGCCCTTGTCTTTATTTTTACCTGTTCAATTCCTGAACGAATATATAGACAGAAAAAATGGCTTAATTAAAAACTACAATAACATCAACTATCTATATGTTTGATCATGATTTCAATTTCATATCATTTTCGAGACTCAGTTTCTATGAATGTTCGCTCTCCACAAAAGTTGTGGATAAAAGAATTTGAGTGTCTGACTCCTTTCTTTTGGCATGTGCTTTAACCGACTTGGAAAAAAACGCAGCACCAATTAAGTTGGTTCCTTGGCCTCAGCGTGGCCATAATATTTATACAGTTCACGAGACTCATGTCATCTCCTGCTCTCCTGATTCAAGTCTAAATCCAATGAAAATTAGGATTCAAA